TCTCCTGTAAAGTGTAGATAATAAAAATACCTACCTGATAAAGTTGTTGTGAGGATTAAACAAGTTGTTTATATAAATGCATAGAAGAGTGGGCTAAGAATGGAGGGAATTTTCCCCCAGGAAGGATTGATATGTTTAGGAGTTACTTATCATTTTCATTGCATTATTTCGGAATTTCTTCTAAATTCTTCCCCAGTGTAAAGAAAATAATCTTCCTTAAACCAAACCAGATAGTTGAGCATATGGATTTTTAAAATGGATAAGATAGGAATTGATCATTCACTTGAAGTAGGATTCAGAAGGAATGTTCTCAGCAAAACTGAGAAACTGATCTTGGTTACCAATATCTGTTCCTCTCTCTTTTGAATCAAAACCATACTTTCTTCCCACTAATCCTGAAAGTTGTACCTATACTGCACTTCTTTCCTACAATCCTTATTCCCTACTACTTCCCAGCTAATTCTGTTAGAATTATTTGTATTTATTTCTTAAATTTTATGCCCCATGACAGAGAAGTTTTAGAGCATGATGTGTAGTACCAGGCGTTAAGTAGGCAGGTTTTCAACAAATATTTGTTGGATAACTGAATTTCCTGGCTCTACTGTACTTAGTGGTTAATTCTCTCTTCCGTTAATTTGACCTTGAATTTCCTGTAAATATAAAAATTTTATGGCCATTATTATGATTTAAATTATCATGTAAGAAACTTTTCAGGAATCTTATTTCATAAGTATGGTATAACCAAACCATTATATCATATATTTGAAAAGTATGTCATTTACATAATTACATTACATTTATGTAATTACAATGAATTTAATGTATGAAATTTTCTTTTCTACCTGTAACAGTTTCACATTGGCTTAAAAATATTAAATTTTTTATCTTGATACATTTCAAAATTTGTAATATTGGAATTGTTACATTTCTGAGGTCTTAATGAAGGCATTTAAACAACTCTTTTCATAAATGTAAACCAAAAAACTATGCTGAAATATGAAGATTGCTGTAAACAGAGGAAATAAATATTATTGCCTTTCATAATCCAAGCCCTCTGCTTTGTGTTTTTACTCGTTTTATCTCATTTATTTTTTTGTAGCAAACCTGTAAGATTATTTCCCCTGTCTATAGATAAGGAAACTGAAACTTAGAGTAAATGATTTACTCAGGGTCACATAACTAGCAGGGATTTGAACCCAGGTCTTTGGACTCTAAGCCATTGTGCTTGAGGAGTCACCCAAGAAATGGAGCTCTTCTGTAATGAGCCGAAGACATAATATTCCATTTAGGTTTTGGAAGTGGATAAGTAACCTATGGAAAACTCATAAGAGCTGTGGAAATGTTTCTTAAGCTAAATCTTGAGGTTGAAAGTTTGAAGTGGATTCTTATCAAAGACTCACCCCCTCTTTATACCTCCCAGTCCCCCATTTAGATATAAAACTTTCCTAAACAAATATTTACTCTAATTTCACGGAGAGAATACATCTCAACTATGTTCCCATTGTGCAATTACTTATTGTGTATCTAGTTAGTTCTAATTTCCTTCCTCATTGTTTTATCATTACTTGTTTTTTCATATCTCCCATTCTGGATTGTAATTTCTTTAAAGTCTCCTGTTAGATTTATCCATGATTGTATTCTCCTACCTTGTTCAGTGCTTTATACGCAAAAGATGCTTAATAAGTGTTGGATAGTATTGAGTTACAGCATTTAAGGTTCTCTACAGAATGTGCCTCTCTCCACCATTATGATGTTCTCTCCTATTACTTTCCCGTAGAGATAGCCAAGTGATTGTAGTCATTGTTTGTCTTTCCTTGTGCCCTTTTCCCCATTCTGAATGCCCTTTCTCCTCTTTTTCTCTGCTTATGGACTTGATTCCCATCTCACCTCCTCTCCATGAGACCTCCAGCAATCAGATCATTAGAAGTCTTTGAATTTCCTGCTGCAGTTATTGTCATTAGGACATGTTTGACACTTAGTGTATTTCATTGTCAGTTATCTTTCTGTTTGTGCCCTGTCTCATCTGGATTGTGAGTTCAAATCCCCGTGGTTCTCTAGATCTGAGTATTAGCTAGCATATTGTTTGTTCAAGAGATTCTCAGTGAATATTCTGATAAATAGAAAAAAAGTCAGTTATTGTCACCTGGAAGAGGCTCTATTGAAAGCATTGCTAACTAGTTTAGGGAGAAATTTTAGTATACAAAAAATGAGATGGTCTGCCAGCCGACATGACTCAACTGGCCTTGAAATTAATGAAGAAAAAATAATTTCTCTACTATAAGCCAAGTGGCTCATATTTGGATATAATTCTAGAAACAGCATTATAGCACTTTTTTTTCTTTCCTATCAGTCTCTTAATGTATACTCTTACATTTGTTGATCATGGACCTCTTTGATCTTATTTTTGACATTGACTGTGTTTTTACTTTGTCTCCGTGAACAGCTAATAATGGAGCAATTTTTAATTTTTTCTTTTATTCAATCTGTATCACATATTTCTTGGTCAGTTATTTGGGACTGTATCTGAGTCATGTGAGTTACATGCTATTTGGTTCTGAGATGAAAGCTTCATTCTCTCTGCTAACTGCTGACTCACCATATGTTGCTGTAATTCTGGAAAGCAGTGAAAATCGTGGTAGTGTTGAAGCAAAAAGCTGTGTTGGACTGGTATTTTAATAATAAATGACATATTTATTGTATAACTCATTCATACACCTAGACATTCTGCAAGATACTTTAAATAAACGATGTAAGATCTATAAGGTAGCTATTACTAACCTATTTTACATAGGACAGAAATGAGTCTGAAAAAAGATTAGGTAGCTTTCTTAAAGGTCAAATTGGCCTTCTTAAGGGTCAGATATTTAGTAAATAGGAGTGCTAGAACATAAGCTCATAAAGGCAGGGACTTTGTTGTGTTCACTGCTGTAGTCCCAACACTTAATACAGTGACTGGAAGTTAAATATTTGTTAAATGAATGCAATTCCTTCCTCACATTCTCTCTTGACCTCAACTCCAGATTATCACTCCCATCACTCCAGCAAAGCTACTCTTGTTGATGTTACTGATGACTTCCCTATTGCTAAAATCCAAAGGCCCATTCTCACTCAGTCTTTTCTAACCTGACGCATAAGCAATATTTGACCCAGTTAGTTACTCCCCTTCCTTGAAATATGTTCTTTGATTGGCTTCCAGAACGATGCATTCTCCTGTTTCTTCCCTGGCCACTCCTCAGTTTGTTTCCTAGCCTCTAAATAATGGAGTATTCCCAGGGCTCAGTCTTCAGACATTTTCTTCTTTCATTTTACGCTCACTTTCCCTGGTGATATCACCTGGTGCCATATCTTTAAATACCATTTAGACTCTAGTAATTACCAATTTATATATTTATCCTAGACCCTTCCCTGAGCTCCACTCTAATATGTTAGATGATTAATAGATATGTGAAACTCAACATGTTTAAAACCAGACTCCTAGTATCCTCCTCTTCTACCCTTCCAGCTGGAAGGGTGTAACTAATTCATACGAACAGCTCTTCGAGTTGATTACGCCAAAATACTTTGGTGTTACCTCTGACAGCTAGTCCATCAGCAAATCCTATTGACTCTATCTTCCAAATGCCATCTGAATCTGATCACTTTTCACCTCCATTGTTATCACTCAGATCCAAGCCAGCATTCTTTTCCATATTTTGTTGTAATAGTTTCCTAGCTGATTTCCCTGCCTCTCCCCATGGCCCCTTTGTAGACTGTTCTTAACATAGTAGCCAAGGAGAACTTATTAAAAAAGAAAAAGAAAAGAGCATATTTTTCTCTGCTCAGAATAGAAGTCTAAATCCTTAAAATCTACCGTTTTGACCTTATCTCCTACTATTCAGTCCAAGCCTACTGACTTTCTTGCTATTTCTAATGTATCAGACATGCCCTCCACACCACCCCACAGAACCTTTGCATTTATTCTTTTCTCTTTCTAGAATGCTCTTCCCACAGATGTCCCCATGATTTAGGTCTTGTGGTCTTTACTAAGGTCTTCAGGCCTTTACTCCTTAGGTCTTTACGAAGACATTCTCTTCCCTTTGAGGCCCTCATTGACTATCCTATTTAAAATTACAGCTCCTGGGGCTGGCCCCGTGGTGTAGCGGTTAAGTGCGTGTGCTCCGCTGCTGGTGGCCCAGGTTCGGATCCCGGGCGCGTACCGATGCACCGCTTGTTGGGCCATGCTGAGGTGGCATCCCATATAAAGTAGAGGAAGATGGGCATGGATGTTAGCCCAGGGCCAGTCTTCCTCAGCAAAAAGAGGAGGATCAGCATGGATGTTAGCTCAGCGCTGATCTTCCTCACAAAAAAATAAATAAATAAATAAAAAATAAAATAAAATAAAATTACAGCTCCTTCCCTACATACCCCTCCAACCCCACACCGCAGCACTTCTTATCTCTTTTCCTGTCTTATTTTCTTCCTGTGGTATTTATCATCCTTTGACATAGTATATATTTTACCTATTTATCTTGGATCGTGTGTGTTTTTAAATCTCTCTCCTTACTAAAATGTAAATTTTACTAGAATATAAGTTCCACAAGGGAAGGAATTTGTTAATTTGTCTACCCTGATTTATTTATTTGTCCCCAGAACAAATGAAGCAATGAATGAATATTAGGGCTAGAATTCCGTTCTATTTGTCCTTATAGTTAAACTAGGCTATTATTAATTTATGTGTTTTGTGTTTTGTTTTACGCATACACCCCTACCTTTACCCCACCCCTACTCAAAAGCCTTTAGAATTGATAAAGTTTTGTAAATTTTAGACATGTGGAATGAACAATCCAGATGTATTTAATGTTTAATCGTAGAATGGTAATAATGACTGCTACATTCTGAAATTTACCTTCCAATATAGCTGTGGTATATTTGGTTTTTGTACTTTTACAAAGGTTGTGTGTGTGTGTGTGTATAATGTTACTATATATATAATGTGTATACATATATAATGTCTTAAGCAGGTTATCAGGACACCCCATGGGAGAGACTTCGATGACTCTTTGGAAAGGTGTGATGAGTATTTGAGCTCAAGGTCATGTAGCAAGCCCCAGCATTCAGCGAGGACCTTACTGGTCCATTCAGCACCCTCAACAATGCCCAAGCATTCTCCAAGCCCAGTGTTAAATCGAGCTTCTCTCAGGGAAAGGTAATGCTTAGCTCTATGTCTATACTAATTTTTTGAATAATCATCATTAGAAAAGAGAAGGCAGAAAATATGTATGTGAAGTGATTATTTGTAAAAGGACAATTTGATTTTAAGAGGCTTACTTGTTTTTATTTAGAACATATTGCATATTACATAGTGTTAGATACTCCTCCCCAGCCCAGTTCTCTTGAAGTGAGTTTATTAGCTATTAGTGAGTTTATTAATTAGGGTCACTTTAAGCCTAATTAAATACTGTAGTTCATAAAAGTGAAAAATAGAGTATGTGATAGTTTGTTTTTAGTAGATTCATAGAGATTTACTATTATAGACATGGCTTCTGTATAAAAATAGCATAGGTTATACTTTCCTTTTAGTGGTAACGGTGATGCTATATATTCTTGGTAAATGGTATCTAGTTTCCTCAAATAACCTCCCCCCAACTCCCCAAGAGAATCTTAATCATGTAAAGATTCCAGCTCTCCCTCTAAAAATGCTTTGGCAACCAAAGTTAGACACTTGTTATAATTTGGATATGAAAGAAATAGTTCCTCTTCATCTGTTTTTGTTGTTGTTGAATCCGAGTTGGAAATTTCTTGCCTCTCGCACAAATAGTTAGTAACATAGAAAACAAGAGTTGTCATAAATTTAAAAAAAAACAAAAGAACAACAACAACAACTCTGGGTTTTTAAAAACTTTTATAGAAATTTGAAAACCTAAGAGATATACCATCAACAACATGGAAATAAAAATCTATCTCTACAGATGGTATCAAAAAGCTAAAGTAGCACACTAAATTCCTGCAGAATATTAGAGCCATCAGACATAACTGACAAAAGTTTAAATTAACTATAGAGAGTCTATCAAAAGTTCATCTCAGGCCGGCCCGATGGCGTAGTGCTTGGGTTCGTGTGCTCCATTTTGGTGGCCCAGGGTTCGTGTGTGGGTTCCCGGGCGTGGAAGTGCGCACCGCTCATCAAGCCATGTGTGGCAGCATCCCACATATAAACTGGAGGAAGATGGGCACAGATGTTAGCTCAGGGCTAATGTTCCTCAGCAAAAGGAGGAAGATTGGCAACAGATGTTAGCTCAGGGCTTGTCTTCCTCACCAAAAAAAAAAAAAAAAAAAAAGTTCATCTCAACACTGATGATTCAGACTAGAGTGACTCAAACAAGAGTGTGTCAGTTTGGAGGCTGTATTAAAACATCCCTGTTCTGAGCAGATAGGTCTGTCCATTTCCTCATTATCTCTGTAAGCATTCAAAATGGATAAATGGAGGTATGCTGTAGACCCTAATCCTGAGATAGGAAATTTTGATTAATGTTGCTTCAAGTCTATTAGAATCATGCCTATGGAGATCATCAAGTTCAGATAGAAAGATAGGTAGGTAGATAGATAAAAAGATATATTTATATATTTATTTATAGACATACATATCTATGTATCTCTAGGCTTTAAAAGTTCAAGAGAAGCTCTTGAGAAGTTTTTCTGCTGAAGTCTGGTAACTTGCATCTCAATATGTCGGGGGACTTTGTTTGATCTCCATGTCTGCTAAGATGTTCAGACGCATAGTTGGTGCTACTCTCTTTTTACCTACTTTTAGAATTAAGCACATGTGGTTTTGTTGGTTAGGTTCTTTGCCATATTTGTAGGTTTTCAAGAATTTTTTTAGCTGTATCTCCTTGGATATGTTTTTATAAATACTGTTTTATTTTTTTATCTTTTCACATATTTTGCAGACCTCTCCAATTGTCTACCACAGTAGTACAATATCAATTTTAGTCTTGTGTTATTTTTTCCCTGTATATAATTTTGTCCCAGCTTTTGAAGCCTATCCCTTACCAGGTTGATAAATTCTTCATTGAAGCTATCTTCAAAAATTCTTTGTTGAGGATAGCCGAGTCACCTGTCCCTTTTTCATAGAGGGGATGACTTAGAGTAGATAGTGGCATTTACACGTTTATTTTGATGCTGGATAGTAGATGTGGATAAGTTCTTTGCTAGAAGGAAATGAGTGATTCTAATATTAAACATTACCTATTTTACCCATGACTTGAGGAAGGTTGAAGTATTTTTTAGATTAAAAGAATATAATGGCAATTCAGTTTTGAATTTATCTCAAATTAATAAAATTTCATTGGGGTACTCTCTAGGGTAAATAAACTTTTTTACCTTCACTAGGATAGAACACCCCTACTTTGAGAATATTTTCTAAAAAAGATCTCGATTTTATCTATAAAGGAAAATAAAATGTCTTTAAGATATATTACTAGGAGCAGAAACATTTTGTTCGTTTTAGCATACTCAGTAGCACATCTTTGTTTATTTATTTATTTTGTGGGTGTGTGTGAGGAAGATCAGCCCTGAGCTAACATCTGTTGCCAATCCTCCTCTATTTTTGCTGAAGAAGATTGGCCCTGGCTAACATCCGTGCCCATCTTCCTCTACTTTATGTGGGATGCTGCCACAGCATGGCCTGACAAGCCGTGCGTTGGTGCGCGCCCAGAATCCGGGCCTGTGCACCCTGGGCCGCCGCAGCGGAGCACGGCACTTAACTGCTGTGCCACCGGGCCAGCCCCAGTACCACAAGAATGTCTTAAATATAAGACATTCTCTGATCTGGCTCTGATCTCTGGTCACTGAGCAATAAACTTACAGGGTGTTTATATAATCTATCGGAATCAATAAACAATTTAAACTGATGTAAATGTAGATTGTATTTCCCAGGCAAAATTGGGAGCATGAGAGAACATACAGCTATAGTTTATCTGGGTAAATATTCATTAAAATTTAATGTTTTCCTCTAAGAGTCCTGTAAATTGCTGACTCCTTAATCATGTATATGAATAAACAGACTTTCGAAAACTTTATCAGTGACTCTAAACAAATGAATTTCTTCATATAGTGAAGGTGCTTTTTGCTTTAAGCTCATTTAAAAAATACCTCCAATAGAGTTAGCACAGCATAAAATGGTTTCAATTTTGATTATAAGTATTACATTTCAGAAGCAGTTTTCTCCTCAAAGTATAAATATTAATATTATGGCATAATTTGTATTAGCCTGTAGAGTTATTACTAAAATTAGACTAAGAAATACTAGCAAATCTAATTAAAAAGGAGCTGGTATTCTTTTAATCATGCTTAAGGTTTTGTTTGATTTTTATAAACGGAATTAGAATGCTAGGCAGTCATTCCTTATACCACAGCACAGACTAGTGGATCCTCTCCTAGTGTCATTGAAGAGATCCTCTTGGAGCTGCCTATTTGGATCTCAGATTTTCAAGGTGTGTTACATATGTAACAAATAACAAAGTCTGCCAATCTATTAGCATAGATTCAGTAACACTTCCTTTTACAAATGTAGGAGGTTAAAATTTAGATATAGTTAGTTGATCATCCCATATTGATTGCATTCTTTAAAACAGATTATGTAAATCATTTATCCTATTAATAGTTAATACTTTGTGTAAACATAAAATTGTAAGTTTCTAAGGACAAACTAGGAGATAAAAGACAAACTTTTAAGCAGCATATTAGCGTTTTAGTATTCATTCCTTTATAAAGGCATTATTACTAACACTTCGTATAGATGCATTATAATCAGATGGGTCTGGAAATTTTCATTATTATGTGTATAAAACAAAGTAGCTTACTTATGCTAATGCCAGTTTTGAATCTGGGAAAGGTATGAGAAAGAGGAATGGTTGTTTTATTTCTTCTTTGACATCTTTAATTGCAACACTCAGTCTCTAATAAGTCATATTTTTCTTTCCTATTTTTCAATATTTATTTGTTTTAGAAGTACACTTATAACAGAGACCAGAGAAGTGATATCATCTGTGCTGAGACAGGATCATTTGATTTTTATGTTCCCCTTTATTCTGAAGGAATAAGAACATTGTTGGATTCTAAACAATATTTTCATCTATTATAAACATTTTCTTTCATTTTGTAATGTTAGTTTTATTTTTCTGTATGCAGAAAGAATTTCTTGCACATAGTTTGAGAGAGTATGATTAAATTACTGGAAAATAAGAATTAATTTTAAAGGCACTATACATGAAATTATGGTTCTAATATGAAAATCTATATAAAGATGAAGCTCTAAAGAATTATGTATGGAAATTACAGCAGTCACATGTATAGATATGCTCTCCCAGAAGCGTGTCAAACTTTGTTATTAAGACTATTTGTTGAACATGTTGTGAGGACTTAATGCTGCAGCTGAGAATCAGTACCTGATTTATATCTGCCTCTCATCCTTGGTCAAAGGAAGAAAATGTGTTATTCTAATCTTTCTATGTTATCACATAGGGATAAGAAAAAAGATGGCTTTCTGTCTGGCATTCGGAAAGATTTATTTTTCTCTCCCTCTGGCTACAAGTCACCTTTGTTTTTTATGCCTACAGATTCCATTCTGATTGGTGTTCACCTTCAAACTGCGATGAGATCCATGACCGGGTAAAAAATGTCTTGAAATCACATCAGGCTCATCAAAGACATTTATATGTTAGTTTCTAAAATTTTCTCTTGAAGGCTTTTTATAATTGGGCATAAAAACCACCCAAGATGCTTAAAGCTTGAAGCATTTTATCACTGGGAAGGAAAAGAAAAGGTACCACCTCTATTAGATGAAAGTCAATGGTTTTGCTAAAGAGAACATATCTAACTTCCTGCCTGACCTGAGTCATTATGCAAAATGTTTGCTACAGATCATCTGCACTATAAACAGTGTTAGTGATAATTACCTCAGAAGGAGTCAGTAAGTAGTGACTCTATGATAATTTTTTCACAGCCTTCAAAATATGGGAACTCTTGTTTTGTGGCCCAGTATAAAACAATTGCATTTTCTGCAAATAGATTTGCTGCTAAATGGTAAAATGAGAGAAGGGGTGAGAAATATGTATTTTGAAGAAGCTTCCCAGCTGATTTTTATGTTAATTAAATATTTAAAAAAGGAAGGAGCAGGTCAAGTTTATCAGGTTTAATATTAGAGAACATCAATATGAGAATATTTTTGATATAAGGCAAATAAACATATACATGAAAGATAGCTGGGAAATAATTACAGTATGTTCTTTTTGTGTTTGATATCTTGTTTCAGTCGTTAGTTTAAGAACAATTATTTATCCTGAGTCATGTTGGGCACTAAGCTTGGTCCTGGGGATATAACTGGATTATGTGACATTGGCATCAGTTTGTATCGTTTTAAGTTTCTATATGCGTACTGTTTTTAAATTAAACTTGTTTCAAAGTACAATATGCTATAGAAAATGCACAAATCATAAGTAACAGCTTCATGATTGATAGTAAAATCGACAGACTTGTGTAAATTATCTACCAGATCAAGAACCAAAACATTATCAGCTCTGCATTAGCCCCTCCTATTTCCTCCCAGCGACTCCAAGGGTAAACATTATCCTAACTTCTAATAGCAAGATTAGGATTGTGTGTTTTGATCTTTATATAAATGACATTGTACAGTGTCTATTCCTTTTTTTTTTTTTTTACCTGTTTCACTTTATTTTTGCAATTCAGACATTTTTGTAGTACAGACATCTTGTTATATAGTTCTGCGCTCTTGTGCTGTATGGTATTTCATTGTGTGGAAATACTGCCATTGATTTATTCATTCCTCTGTTGATGCACATCTGGGTTGTTTCTGGTTTGGGCTTTTATAGAGCTGCTATGAGCAGCTTGTGCTATCCTCAGGTAAAATCCTCAGGTAACATTGTATACATTTTATTTGGGTATGTAGCTACCAGTGGAATTGCTCAGTCATAGAGTATGTATACATTCAGTTTTGGTAGACACTGCCAAAGAATTTTCCAAGTGATTTTTAATAGTTTACATTCCCACTACCAGTGTGTGTGAGTTCTACTTGTTCCACTGTCTCACTACTACTTGATAGATTGTGTGCGTGTGTGCTGGTGTATATTTTCATTTTGGCATTTTTAAAAATGTAGTTTATCACATAATGGCTTTAATTTACTTTTTCCTGAGGACTAGTAAATATGTTTATTGGCGATTTGAATATCTTCTTTTGTGAGTGTTCAAGTCATTTGACCATTTTTTTACTGGATTGTATCCTTTTCTTTTTTGATTTGTTAGGAGTTCCATACAGATTCTTGATATGAGTTTTTAGTCAGATATATGTTTTACAGTTTTCTTTTCCCACTCTGTGCCTTGCGCTTTCATTCTCTTAATGGTATGTTTTGATGAAAAGAAGTTCTTTCTTTTTAATTGTTAAGATTTTTGTTGATGTAACATTGGTTTATAACATTTTATAAATGTCAGGTGTTGCCAACCATCACTGTACACATGTGCCCCTTTACACCTTTCCTCCCCCCCCCACCCCCTTCCCCTCTGGTAAACACCAGTCTGTTCTCTGTATCTATGTGTTTATTTGTTTATCCTTCACCTATGAGTGAAATCATATGGTATTTGTCTTTCTCCATCTGACTTATTTTGCTTAGCATAATACCCTCAAGGTCCATCCATGTTGTCGCAAATGGCAAGATTTCATCTTTTTTATGGCTGAGTAGTATCCCCACTGGGTGGTATCCCTTACTACATCCTGAAGATGTAATATCCCAAAAACACTACGTCTTTTTTTATCCATTCATCCGTCAGGGAGCACTTAGGTTGCTTCCAGGTCTTGGCTATTGTGAATAATGCCGCCATGAACATAGAAGTGCATATATCTTTTCAAATTAGTATTTTTGTGTTCTTTGGATAAATACCCAGAAGTGGAATAGCTGGATCATATGGTATTTCTGTTTTTAATTTTTGGAGGAATGTCCATACTGTTTTCCATAGCGGCTGCACCAATTTACATTCCCACAGCAGGGTACGAGGTTTTCCTTTTCTCCATATCCTCTCTAATACTTGTTTTTTGCCTTTTTAATAATAGCCATTCTGATGGGCATGAGGTGATCTCTCATTGTAGTTTTGATTTGCATTTTCCTAATAATTAGTGATGTTGAGCATCTTTTTAGGTGCCTGTTGGCCATCTGTGTATATTCTTTGGAAAAATATCTGTTCATATACTCCTCCTATTTTTTGATTGGGTTGTTTTTGTGTTGTTGAGTTGTATGAGTTCTTTATATATTTTGGAAATTAACCCCTTTTTGGATATATGATTTGCAAATATTTTCTCCCAGTTAGTGGGTTGTTTTTTTTGTTTTGTTGATGGTTTTCTTGCTATGGGGAAGCTTTTTAGTTTGCTGTAGTCCATTTGTTCATTTTTTCTTTTATTTCCCTTGCCTGAGGAAACGTGATATTCAGAAAGATACTGCTGAGACCAATGTTGAAGAGCATACTGCGAGTTTTATGGTCTCAGGACTTCATTCAAGTCTTTAATCCATTTTGAGTTAGTTTTTGTGTATGGTGTAAGATAATGGTCTACTTCATTCTTTTGCATGTGGCTGTGGCTGTCCAGTTTTCCCAACACCATTTATTGAAGAGACTTGCCTTTCTCCATTGTATGTTCTTGGCTCCTTTGTCGACAATTAGCTGTCCATAGATATGTGGGTTTATGTCTGAGCTCTCAGTTCTATTCCATTAATCTCTGTGTCTGTTTTTCTGCCAGCACCATGCTGTTTTGTTTACTATAGCTTTGTAGTATATTTTGAAATCAGGGAGTATGATACCTCCAGCTTTGTTCTTTTTTCTCAGGATTACTTTGGTTATTCAGGGTCTTTTGTTGTTCAAGAAGTTCTTAAGTCTAATGAATCCAATTTATCATTTTTACTTTTTTGATTAGCATTTTTAGAATTTTTGTCTGCTTCAAGACTTTCTCCTATGTTTTCTTCTAAAGGCTTTTTGTTTTCTGTCATATTTTAATATATGATCCAGTTGGAATTATTTTTCTCTATATAGTGTTAGATAAGTGTCAAGTTTCAAGAAAGGTTCAAGTCTCATGATTGTGGACAGGTCTGTTTTTCTTTCTAGTTCTGTTAATTTTATTTTATATGTTTTGAAGTAATGTCCTTGTTTGGATACAGATTTCAGACTATGATATGAACGTTTTATTATGAAATGTCTCTCTTTATCTCTAGTAATATCCTTGTTTTACAGTATGTTTTGTCTGATATTAGTATACTTATAGTGGCTTTTGGCTAGTATATGCATAGTGTATATTTTTCCATCCATTGCTTTTTATCCTTATACCTAAAGTCCATATCTTGTGAGTAGCACATGAAGATTTTTTTTTTTTAAGAATGAAAATCTAGGGCCAGCCCCGTGGCTTAGCAGTTAAGTGCGTGCGCTCCCCTGCTGGCGGCCTGGGTTTGGATCCCTGACACGTACCGACGCACCACTTCTCCGGCCATGCTGAGGCTGTGTCCCACATACAGCAACTAGAAGGATGTGCAGCTATGACATACAACTATCTACTGGGGCTTTGGGGGGAAAATAAATAAATAAAAATTAAAAAAAAAAAAAGAATGAAAATCTGGAATTTTTATGTAGATTGATGCAGCTTTTGTTTGGATTAATAAGTATATTTTATAATCCATTTCCTTTTTATTAATTTGTTATTCATTTTTTTACTGTTCTGTTATTGGTTTCCCTAGAGATTTCAACATGTATACATGACAAATTATTTCTCTGTTGACCTCCCTAATAATATTGTGACCTAAAAACATTTAACTCTTTCTAACCTGCCTCCTTTTTTGCATACCTATTATCATGTATTTTAATTCTACATATATAAAACAAACAAGAATTAATTTTGTTTGTATAGTAATGTTTATTCATTTTACTCACATATTTACACTTTCTATTATTCTTCATTCTTTCCTGCAATTTTATGTTCCCATCTGGATTCTATAGTCATTTTCTTTCTGCCTGAAAAATTCTCTAATACTTTATGTCATTCTCCTGGCTTTGAATTCTGATTTTGTTTGTTTGAAAGCATCCTGGTTTTACTTTTATTTAGGATGGTTTTACTGGATATAAAATTCTAGGTTGCTGGTTTTTTCCTTTGGCATTTTAAAGAAGCCGTTCCATTGTCTTCTGGCTTCTTTTGTGTCTGATGAAAAGTCAGCTGTTATTCCTTTGAAGTAATGTGGGGTTTTCCTCCTCTGTTGCATTTAAGATTGGCTTTTCAACTTTGTGTTTAGTAATATTACTATGATATAGCTAGATGTAGTTTTTTTGGATTAATTCTATGTTAAGTTTGCAGAGCTTCTTAAATTTTTTGGTTGATAGCTTTCATCAGTTTTGGAAAACCCATAGTCATTCTTTCTTCAAACATTGCTTCTGCCCAAATATCTCTTTACTCTCTCTCTGGAACTTCCAATTACACTTATGTAAGATCTTTAGACTGTATCTCATATGTATCTTGATGCTTATTTTTTATCTTTCAACACATGGTTCTGGATAAAATGAAAGAAAACCCTCCTTGACACATAATTCAAGATAGATCATAGACCTAAAACATAGTATAAAATCCATTTCATTTATAATTGGAAATGACTTTATATATGACACCCAACACACGATCC